ACCGCGCGGACGGAGTATCCGCGTGATTAATTCAGAAGTCTCGAGCGTTGCGACGGGACAAAAGGGCCGGGAGGGTCAGAGGACACAAAAGCGCGACCCTTTGTTCTTATTTAACGCGGCGCAATCCCGAGATAAGGGTCACGGGCGCACAATGCGAGCCCCTTTGGGATCATTTCTGTCGAGCCGTCATTCCTTGCTCAGGCGCGACCGAAAAAGGACACCGGTTTGTTTTCGCGAGTGTGAACCGATGGAACTGTTGATGCTCAGTTTGTGAGTGTTTTCAGCAGGTTTCAGTGCAACTACCGAGCAGTTAACCGCTTGCTTTATGATTTATTTTTTAACTGTGGTAGATGGTACTGTATTGTTAATTGATTGGGAAGAGGATTTTGCTTCTATGTCTACGTTTACTTGAAAGCAGGTTTAGTGTGGCTTTAATAGATTTATAGTTTGGGTATTAATAAATTAATTTTTTCGATTTCTTAGAGATGTATGGTGTCTTTTTAGTAATTGGGAAGATATCATTTTGAACCGTTCGAAATGGGGAATTGACTATGGAAATTTAGAAGTAGAGAGAATTTGTGCATACTTCGTTTTGTGTTATATGTTATTTTATTTATTATGAGTTATTCGAGTGTGTTTTAGTGAGACTTCCACACAAGCTTAGTATTAAGAGAAAGTCTTAATACTAACTCTAAAAAACTCTTAGTACTCAAACTCAGAAACGCTACACCATGAATTAGCAAAATTATTCCAAACGACACCGTGTCCCTAACTTCAGAACACGTTTAACTCTAACCAATTTGATCAAAGATCAACAGTATATAATCAAAAACAATGGTACACCATGAATTAGCAAAACTATTCGAAACGACACCAACCCCGTAACTTCAGAACGCGTTTAACTCTAACCAATGTGATCAAAGATCAACAGTATATAATCAAAAACAATGGTACACCATGAATTAGCAAAACTATTCGAAACGACACCAACCCCGTAACTTCAGAACGCGTTCAACTCCGAGCAAGTTCGTCCCGCGGAATATCTCAACGCGGGCATTAAGTTTAATGCTGCAGCCAGAAACTCGACGCATAGAGGGCTCAGGCCGGTGAAACAGAGGTCAGCAATTCCGTCTTCGGGCCAGGCTTATTACCGGCGACGCCTCGGCTCGCCTTTACAGCGAGCCCCGTGTTCATAATTCACGCGGGTGTAATGAAGACGTTTATTATTACCATTAAACACAGTCACGCGACACTCGAGAACACTCGTCGCTCGTTGTCCGCCGACGTAACTACACGATCTTCGTGGAGCGGCCCTCACCGGCGGGAACACACGCTTCAATCCGTTGTAAAGGCGCCGAAGTGGACGGCGGTACCGGTTGTTTACCGGTTTTCGAGCCGACCCCCCGCCAACAACGCGCGAAACTGGCCGATTTCCCGGCAATGTTTGCGCTCGCCGGAGTTATTCTGGGGAACGGATGTCGGAACAGGGTTGTCTGCCGCTGAAATGCCGGTCGGCTTGCATCAACGCACTCGACGATGTGTATTTTATGTTAATTAATTTATTGTGTATTACGGTCCGCCGTCCTGTGGAGGGTTGTAGAGTTGTATTCGGTCGAGACTAACCTTTGCGTTTTATACTGTACTAGTACGGTACACTCTTTCGAAATTTGAATTTTGATCGTTAACCACTCTAAAAAAAGAAATTCTTAGTACTCGCATCGATCAACAATGTATAATTAAAAGAGAAACATATTCTATAGATTATCTATGCTCCATCAATCCATCGAAAATAAGAAATGCTATAACATTTCTTCAATCTTTCATTTTCCTTAGTGCAAAATTCGGATGTGTGGGAAATTGAATAATTTTAGGGTAGTTTCTTTAAGATTAAAATATTTAATATTATAACTGGCGAAATGGTGGAGCCTACAGAGTTCAAAGGGTTAAAATTAGTAGTAGGAAAATAATATTCAATTGGGACTTGGAAGAATTGAGTGATATTTATGTTTGTTAAATTCTTTTATTTTTCTTCTCAGTGCAAAATTCTGATGTGTGGGAAATTGAATAATTTTAGGGTAGTTTCTTTAAGATTAAAATATTTAATATTATAACTGGTGCAATGTTGGAGCCTACTTTGAACTTCAAGAGTGAGTCTATCGAGACTTTAATTGATTTATACATCAGATTTAATAATTTCTCAGAAATATCTGTGATATTTTTAATAATTGCAAAAAGAAGCAATCAGGAGTGAATGATTTTGACCCATCTGGTAGCTTTAGTCTTAATATTTGGAGAACGTTTATCGATAAATTAGGTTTAGCTATTTCTTTCCGCTTCTGTGAATCATCTGAGGTCATTCTGAGGATTTATACTATTTACTTAACATCACTAGATATTAAGATCAATCATTGATGCCTTAGTAAACGAAGGAACTACTCAACAGTCCCAAAAATCGGTTTATATAAGAAATTCGATGCTAATAACGAAACATTCTGATCCTTCCTCCAATGACAATTAACATTAATGAAACATATTACGATCACGAGACAGTTACAAATTCACACAAAGAACTGGTCTATTCGATCAATATTGTCGCATCGATCTCCATCCCGGAACGCTTGACGTTCGATCGGCCAAGGATCGAGTGACATAATGGAAGCATCAGAAATTCGAACACAGGAGAGCGGACTCTGTTATCCGCTTTTCCGTGGACGGAATACAATCGAGGGGAACGGCTCGGCGGACCAGAGACGGCTGGCCGGGCTGTGTTCATCGATATCGCCGTCCGTGACAAACAATCATCCCGATTAATTATGCGGCTCGTGATTTATTTGAGGGTTGCCGAGTCCCAGGCATTTCAACGAGCCGTGACGCGAGGCGCAGCTGTCTCGCTGCCGCTGACACGAATGGACTTCGGAAAACAATGTACGATGCGCGACCGCACGCGTGTCCCATTCAAACCGGACCGCACGTCACGCGGTAGCCGATGATACTCGATCTGCTGGAACAGGATCACCGGAGGAGGAGGCAGAAAAATCGTATCAACAGCTGCGACGTTGATCTGTCCAATGGAAATTCGATCGACGAGTTTGGTTAGGGGAGCTGTGGAGCGGAATAAGTTTTTCTGTGATGGTTTTTGCGAGAGGTATTCGTTTTCTCCGCGAGAGAGCTATTTTCTCCACGAGAGAGCGATTCTTTATCTCAGCAGAAAGTTGATTTATAATACCCTCTCTATTATTTCTGTCACTTCTTTTCTTAACTTATCTCTAATTTCGAGTTTAGATAGTTATTAAGTTGTTTTTCTGTGATGCTTTCTGAGAGAGTTATTCGTTTTCTCCGCGAGAGAGCTATTTTCTCCACGAGAGAGCGATTCTTTATCTCAGCAGAATGTTGCTTTGTAATATTTGCTCTATTGTTTCTGTATTCTCTCTTTTTGCCATTTGGGACTACTGAACCTACCTCAATGTGAATTCTTTCTTAGATTATCTCTAATTTCGAGTTTAGTTAGTTATTAAGTTGTTTTTCTGTGATGGTTTCTGCGAGAGAGCTATTCATTTTCTCCACGAAAGAGCGATTCACTTTCTCCACGAACAACGATTCACCAGAAAATCACTTTACCATTCTCTCTCTCTATTATTTCTATATCCTCCAGCTCTCTTCGCCATTCGGGACTACTAAACCCACCTCAACATCGCTTCTTCCCTCGCCTTATCTCTAATTTCGACTCTCCTACCTCGTACACGGAAAAACCTGCTCTCTTTCAGCGCTCGGAACACGAGCCGCCCAAGTTTAAAACGCGACGCGCGTTCGCCCGGAACAAAAACTGCATTCCCAGGGAAGAGGAAGCGTCGCGAGCGTCCCGTAGGAAATAATTTCGAGCCGAATGAATGGGATAACTCGCGGAAAAACTTAGTTCCTTTTGTCCGTCCGCCCGGTCTTTGTTTCCCGGAGAATATGAGAAGTTTCTTGCCGAGCTGCATCGTAAATAGAGACGGCGAGCAAGAGTTCATTTAAATTGCACGGAGCATCGTTCTGTCGGGTTCGCCGCGAACCACGGGCCACCATCGGCCGGCCAGCGTTGCCGCTGCCCGCTGGCCAATTCCGACCGCAGCCTCGGCCCGCAATAGTTCAGCCCCCGGTGAACGCGATTCCGGATACAGCGAGATAATTGCCGCGTTCGCCAGCTGGAACGACCGTAGGCTCGCTTACGCGTTGCTAATTAGTTTGGTTTTTTGGGGAACCGTGGTTTGCTCCGGGAAGGACAATGGATCAGGGAAGTCGGAGAGCCTGCGCGATGACTGATGAGAATACCTGTGCGAATTTTTAGAATATTAGAAGCGAGAATTTTTGGAGGATTATGAAGTTGTGGGATTAGTTTGTTGATGTGTGGGAGATTGTTATTGTTGAAATGTTGAGTGATTGATTGTTTAATTGGTGATGTTGGATATTTAGCTTTTTTTGATTGTTTCTTAAATTGTATTGTTGTGAATATATTTGCAATGAATGTGTATATAATTTTAATATTTTCATTAATAGTACTGTATTTGCGAATATATTTTCAATTAATGTGTTTATAATTCTTTTAATATTTTCATAAGTAGTATTGTAATTGCAAATATATTTACTATGAATCTGTATATAATCCTTTTAATATTTTCTTCAATAATATTGTAATTGCGAATATATTTGTAATAGATAGGAATATAATTCTTTTAATATTCTCATTAATAGTATTGTAATTGCGAATACAATTTATTTAATATTTTCTTCAATAATATTGTAATTGCGAATACATTTGCAATAAACAGTCACATAATTCTTTTAATATTTCCATTAATAGTATTACAATTGCGAATATATCTGCAATAAATGCGAATATAATCGCTATCAATAATCCGTTGCGAGATAAATCGCTACAGACGGATATTATCCCCATACCGTCCTAAATAGAAGCACCTTGTCATCGGATTAATATTCGTCAACTGTGATTTTTCCCACAGACGATCGCAGAATGGACGGCCGACTTCAAAAACGAAGGAAATAAAACGCACGCTTCGACCACTCGGGAACCGTGGACAGAGATAAGTGGAGAAAAGAAGTTTGTTGTGTTTGGGGTTCGCGGAACTTCACCGCGGCGGTAGCTTTAATCCCCGCAAATCCTTTGAGCTCCATTAGCGACTTCGTTGCTGGACCAAATTTCATCGAACGCTCGCACACGCTGCACGTCCCAGATGCTGCGGCAGCTATCTCTTAAATGTACAGGTTAGTGGTAGAAATTTCGAAATAATACTTAGTATTAATGTATTATCGAATTTATATTATCCCTTCTCATCGTATTTCACGTGGATAGATTTAACGAGACGAAAACAATATTTAAACAGCATAACTGGAAACAGAAGACAGGGAATTCTAATTAGAAATAATTCTAATTTTCTATCAATTATCAAACATTGCCAAAAACATTCCTCCCAAAATTAACCGTTTGCACTCGAAAGTTTTTCACTGGAAATACTCAACATTCTCCAACATATAATTATAAATTAAGCAACAAAGCTATTTTATTTAAATATTTCACACAGCAACACAAAGTTTTATTTAGAATATAAAATATTCAACTTCATAGTTTTGTCACCTCTCCAGTGCAAAGGGTTAATTCTTCCTCCATCATCCCCTAAATTGTCATTTCAAATTCTACAAAATCATTTCAAAGAACACTTCAAACTCTATGAAATCATTTCAAAGAACACATCAAACTCTGACATGATTTTGTAAAGAACACTTCAAACTTTACAAAATCATTTCAAAGAACACGTCAGTTATCTTTCATCCATCATCCCCTAAATTATCCCTTCAAATTCTACAAAATCATTTCAAAGAACACGTCAGTTATCTTTTCTCCATCATCCCCTAAATTATCCCTTCGAATTCTCCAAATTCATTTCAAATTCATTTCACACGTCAAACTCTACAAAACCATATCAAAGAACACTACAAACTCTACAAAATCATTTCAAAGAACAAGCCAATATCCTCAACTATCCAGAGTAATCCCATTAACCGTCTCCCATAGTTTACACCGTTGTTTATTCCGCATATCGATATCGCGCAGTACAATCACGATTTCACTCGTCCGTCCGGCGAGCTCGTTCGAAAAGAATTTAGTGGCGCATCGGATGGCCGGCGATAACTGTGCGCGAGGTCAACATTAACGCCGCGAATAAACCATCAATAATGACGAGACCGCGGTCCGCGGTGGCGGCGGCACTCGTTCCATGAATCGAAACAATGTCGCGACATTTGCATACCATTTGCGTGATTTATAATACGCGAGATAATTATCTTCGCAGCCCCGGCCGACGTAAATATCGCGGATCTCGCCCGCACCGCTCCTTTTACCATAACCATCCAGTTGTTTATTTACAATAACTCTCGGGGAAACGTTCGTCGCATTAATTTCCCCGATACGCCGTTTACTATCATCGAAATTTCACTGTACAGGGTGTTTCCGAAATTAATGTGGATATAATGTGGAACTATACCATCGTTTATGCGAAAGTTATCACATAGATTTAATCATTAGGTATTTCAACGTAAGTTATTCCATGGAAAAATTCCCTGGGAAATATGGAATGTTTAATGACGCTTCGTTTTCGGGACAATGCTTAAAAGGGAATTTTAATAAATTTTATTCCATAGAGCGTTTTAATAAATTCTATTGTACAGAAGAACATTTTAATAAATTCTATTGTACAGAAGGAAATTACGGGAGACTGTAATGTAGAAGGAAATTTGAATGAATTTTGTTGTATGGAAGGAAATTCCAGGAAAATTTTAATAAATTTCGTTCCATGGAAGAAAATTCCAGGAGGATGTTGTTCCATGGAAGAAAATTTGAATTAATTCTGTTCCATGGAAGGAAATTCCAGGAAAATGTTGTTGTACGGAAGAAAATTTTAATAACTTTTGTTCCACGGATGAAAATTCCCGGAAAATTCTGTTCTATGAAGGAACATTTTATTTTTCACTTTTGGTGTACGGTTTCATTTAAATTGAATTCCTCCTCGGTTGTAATATGATTTAGGGAGCACCCTGTGTACAGTACATCGTTCCTCGGCCGCGTTTTAGGTATCGCGTTCCAGTTTCGAGCGTGACCGTAATTTCCGGTCGATTTATCACTTATTTTCGACCGTCGAAACGCGGCTCGTCGCGCGCAACCGGTTCGCCCCCAGTGAATTATTATCATTACAGTTTTCTGCTGTTGCCGGGAGAGATAATTTCGGACTCGTTCGAACAACACGTTCGCCGGGTGGGAGGGAATTAGGTGTTCATTTTAGAATCGTTTGCGTAATCACTGTTTGAATTGTACGAGGGCTGAGAGGACGAGCGTGTCCGTTGCTCGACGGGGCATTTTAAAATTGAAAGGACGCAGGAAACTTTCGACCCTTGTTGATTTCGCTTTTTTAACTTGTTTCCCTTTGATGCTAGGTTTTTAAGGGTTGCTCGGCGTACTGAAGTATTTTTAGGGCGTGCGATGAGAAAATGATCGATCGATGGTTTGTTGAATATTTGAAAAATGAATTTGAATTTTTCCAATCATCTCGCAATTTGTTGAATGTTAACTCTTTGCACTCCGTAGGCGCCTCTCGTTTGACATTTAATATTAAACTTTGTACAATGCATCGACATGTGAAATATTAAAATAAAACAGCCTCTTTAATTTATGCGCGATTTTTCGTTAAGTCAGTTTGAAAGAATGTCGTTGGTATTTGATTAAAAATGTTGAGTATTTCTAATGAGAAACTTCTGGAGTGCAAAGGGTTAAAAAATGAATTTGAATTTTTCCAATCATCTTCTCGCAATGTTTTGAATGTTAAAGAATGAATTTGAACTTTTTTAATTATCTTCTCATAATTTCTTGAATGTTAAAAAATGAAGTTGAATTTTTCAATCATCTCGCAATGTGTCGAATGTTTCAAAAATGAATTTGAATTTTTTCAACCATCTTCTCGCAATGTTTTGAATGTTAAAAAATGAATTTGAATTTTTCAATCATCTCGCAATTTGTTGAATGCTTCAAAAATGAATTTGAATGTTTTCAATCATCTTCCCGCAATTATTTGTTTTACCGTCCATCGGAGAATTGTGTGGTTGATTTTCAATTGTCGAACGATTCGTTTAATATATTTCCTACGGATCGATCCTTTTTCTCTGGCAATAGTCCCGCTTGAATTAATAAACGAACGCAGCTGACCGCCACCAGCCGAGAGTTAATAATTTCCCAACGGTAAAGGGAATTATATGTTCATTGCATACGTGTACATTTACTCTGCAGGTTAAATGTACGCAACCGCAAAATAACGTTTCATATTTACTATAATTAGACTGCGGATGTTTATACATTCATGCCAAACAGGGCCGAGGAGCATAATAAGGTATAGAGTAAACTTAAATGCAATATTGTTTATACTGGAGTTCCATCGAATTAATGTCTACCCGAACGAAACAGAAACATTTCTTCGGGTTCGTTAAATCCCCTCGATCACACTGGAAAAGAAGTCAATTTATATAAGTGCACGCGGTCTAATTAACGTGTTACAACTACGCGAGGAATCAATTAAACTCGAGTATGAAGTATTTCATTCGGAATAAGGAAAACCGATCGCTTCGATGTAAATTGAAATAAAAATTCAAGTGACACTTTCGTCGATATCTAAATATATGAATTCCGGATTTACAATTAAATTTAAAGTATCCACATCTGCGATTCGATGATTGAAATTAAATGTCAAATATTTAACACTAAAGCTACAAGATAATTCAGAATTACCCACTCCTGGTTCCTTCATTTTGCAATTATTAAAAAGATAACAGGTATTTCTGAGAAATTATTAATGAATTTGTTTTACCAATACGCAGAATGAATTATAAATCAATGAAAGTCTCCATAGATGAATTCTTAGAATTTCCATAAACGAATTTCCAATTTCAATGTTGACACTTGAACTACTAAATGGGTCAAAGTGACCCATTCCTGATTTTTTCTTTTCTGAATAATGGAATGATAACAAACGATTCTCTGACAGAATTATAAATTAATCGAACACTCAATAAAAATGTGAAATTAAATTCCAAGTATTTAACACTGAAACTACAAGACAAATCAAAATGCCCACTCCTGGTTCCTTCATTTCACAGTTATTAAAAAGATAACAAATATTTCTGAGAAATTATTGAAGAAGTTGATTATTAACATGCACACTGAATTATAAATCAGTGAAAGTCTTGATAGATGCATTCCTAGAGTTTCTAGAAACTAATCTTTAGCTTTAGCGTTAAATAATATTCACATTCCTCCAGCAATACACCAAACCAAAGGGTTAACCGATTTCCACGGAGACTCGCAGCGCCGGGGAAGTGCACACGTACGAATCCCAGTTCCAACACTCAATAAAAATGTGAAATTAAATTCCAAGTATTTAACACTGAAACTACCAAACGGGTCAAAGTGACCCATTCCTGATTTCCTCTGTTTCAAATAATGAAATGACAAACGATTCTCTGAAGAATCACTGAAGAAGTTGTTTTCATATTAGGCAAACAGAATTATAAATTAATCGAAATCCAAGTAGATGCACTTTCAGCGTTTCTATGAAAAAATTAGAAAACTGTAATTCAATTGCTCGGTAGCTTCAGTGTTAAATAATATTTACATTCCTCCAGCAACACACCAAACCAAAGGGTTAACCGATTTCCACGGAGACTCGCAGCGCCGGCGAAGTGCACACGTACGAATCCCAGTTCCAACACACACGCTTTTCTTTTCGGTCACCCACATTCCCCTTTGTCTTCGCGAACCCCAGTTCCACGAACGAAGCGGAAGCTTTTCGGCGGATCAGGACAGATAACGGCGGCGAGGGGGAGAGAGAGAGCGAGAGAGAAGGGACCGGCGAAAGCACGCATCCAGGTCACCCCAAACTAATTGCCATTCGATTCGTCCACTCTTCGAGGTCCGCGAAACTTTCCCGACCGCATTCCCCGCTGAAATCCCCCGTTCCGCTGCCCTCAGACAAACCGCTGGTTTCCGGCTCCACGAACTTCCGACTTCTCTTCTCCGAGTGATTTACATCGCGACGGACAAACCGTGATAATTGCTCCGGGAAACAATTTCCAGGGTTGCCGGGGATTCGGAAAATCGGAAAATTTTCGGACGACCGTCCGCCGAATTTCTATTGCGGGGAAGATGAACGCCGGTTGGAAGATGG